TCAAATCTCTATATGGCAGATGCTGGTACTGCACCCACAGCCCGTGGTGGTCCCCTGTGATTCTCCACCTGCGTGTTCCCTCTGGTGTACTGGGTCCTCACAGTCAGCCCTGAGCACCAAAGGGCTGCTGCTGCCAGTGAGGAGGGGGCTGGAGGAGACCTGTGCCAAGCCCCGCCCCTCAGCTGGGAGTCTCTGCCACGTGACCCACATCGTCTCTCAGAATGTCCCAGGGAACTGAGGTCCAGGAGCCCCAGTGTCACCTGCCCTTTCAGTCACCCTGTGTTGGCTCCTCCTTTTTTTTTTTTTTTTTTTCTCACTGTTCCTCCCAAATAAACTAATTGCCCTGGTTCCTTATCTCAGGGTCTGCTTCTGGGGGACCCCAATCAAAGACAGCCCCAATAAGCAAAACGGGCCTGTGACACTGGGAAAAACAACAGCCCTGGTAGTCTAGGGCCTTTGGTGAGTTGCTGTGTGGGAGGTGGTCAGCCAGGATGCCTGGCTCTTGTTAGGAACAACAGAATTGTGATGAAGGCAACGGGAGCCAGGTCTGGACCCTCCTCCTGGGCCCAGACGTCTGACCCTTCCCGGGAACCCTGAGCGGGGCAGGGTTCAAGCCCAGGGCCAGGAGGCCAGAAACATTTCCATTTTTTCTTTCTGATGCTTCGGGTGCACTGTCTCCTCCCCGCACAGTGTTTGTGCTGTGACACCCTGAAAACTGTGAAATTTCGCCCAATTTGGTTTGATGTTCTCGAGGCGCTTGGCGCTGTATGAGACACTCAGACATTCCCACGGCCCAGTTCCTATTTAAAAACTGCCTCTCTATTTAAAGTTCGTGATGGGGGGAATAAAAGGGAAAAGACTCCCAAAACTGAAGGGAACGTGAGATAGGACAAGAAAAATCCACTTTGCTTCTAAAAAAGGCTGTAAATGATAACCATCCGTGGTCTCGTGTGTCAAGTCTGAGGATTCTTTCCTCTTTCTGGGTGTTTGCAAACCAGAGTGGAATTTTGTTATGGGCTGCTCAGTGAGATGTTCAAGTTCCTGGCCCCTGAAACTCCCTCCTCGCTCTGTAGCATGCCATTTAAGCTCCTCGTATGGATGGGAGAGAATGGATCCAAAATAAAGCAGCCCGTGTCCCGGGCTGCCTTCCCCCGATGTGGCCACATTTTCCCAGAGCTCAGCCAGGGAGCCAGCAAAGCCGCCTGGCTCCTTTTATGAACAACAAAACCATGATGAAGGCAACAGGAGTCAGAAAACTATTCACTGCAGGAAGTCCCAGTATCCGGTGAGAAATAAGAAATACAACAGCACAGGATGCGCCTTGGGTCAGGGGGACGTGCAAAGCCCGCAGCCTTTGTGTTCTTCTCTGTGCCAGAGTGTCAGCGTCTGAGCCCTCGGCTCCCCTCTGAGCTTGGCTGGGGCGGGCACGGTCACTGTCAGGCTCCCAGCCCCCGCCGAGGGCGACACGGAGACCGCGATGGCCACCTCCGCCAGCCTGCTGCCACTGCTGCTGCCGCTGCTGAGCCAGCCCTGGCTGGGGGCTGGTGCTGACACACAGGCTGTGGTGTGCGCGGGCACTGCTTGCTACTCGGCCCACTGGGGCAAGCTTTCTGCCGCCGAGGCCCAGCTTCTCTGCAGCAAGGACGGGGGCAACCTGGCCACAGTGAGGACCGAGGAGGAGGCCCGGCACATCCAGCGAGCACTGGCCCAGCTCCTACAGCCTGGGGCGCCCTGGACAGGCAAGTTCTGGATAGGACTCCAGCGAGAAAAGGGCAAGTGCTTGGACCCCAGGCTGCCCCTGAAGGGCTTCAGCTGGGTGGGCGGTGGGGAGGACACACTGTATTCCAACTGGTACAAGGAGGCCAGGAACACTTGCATCTCCAACCGCTGTGTGTCCCTGATGCTGGACCCGTCCGTCTCTTCCCTCTCCAGCCACCTCCCCAAGTGGTCTGAGGGCCCCTGTGGGAACCTGGGCTCCCCTGTAAGCAACATCGAGGGCTTCGTGTGCAAGTTCAGCTTCAAAGGCATGTGCCGGCCCCTGGCCCTGGGGGGCCCAGGCCAGGTGAACTACACCACTCCTTTCCAGGCCACCAGCTCCTCCTTGGAGGCTGTGCCCTTCGCCTCAGTGGCCAACGTGGCCTGCAGGGAGGGGGGTGAGAGTAGGCAGCATTTCTTCCTGTGCAAGGAGAAGGCCACTGATGTGTTCGACTGGGGCATCTCAGGACCCCTCTGTGCCAGTGCTGAGTACGGATGCAGCTTCAATAACGGGGGCTGCCAGCAGGAATGCTTGGAGGGGGAAGGTGGCTCCTTCCGCTGCGGCTGCCGCCCGGGGTTCAGGCTGCTGGATGACCTGGTGACCTGTATCTCCCGGGACCCTTGTAGCTCCAGCCCATGCAGAGGAGTGGCCACATGTGTTCCCGAGTCCCTCTGGAAAAACTACACGTGCCAGTGCCCCGAAGGCTACCAGCTGAACACGACTCAGCAGGACTGTGTAGATGTGGACGAGTGCCAGGCCTCCCCCTGTGAACAGGAGTGTGTCAACACCCCTGGAAGCTTCCACTGCCAGTGCTGGGTGGGCTACGAGCCCAGCAGCCCCGGAGGGCCGGCCTGTCAGGATGTGGATGAGTGTATGAGTCCCGAGGGCGGCCTCTGTGAAGGCTACTGCCTCAACACGCAGGGGTCCTTCCGCTGCACCTGCTTGCCAGGCAGGGAGCTGGCCCCCGATGGGGTCTCCTGTATCACAGGCCCCACGCCCCTGGGATCATCTGCTGAGACCCCCCAGGGGCAGAACACAGGAGATAGAGAAAGGAGCCTCGGGCCTTCTACCACAACCTCAAGCCCAACTGGGGGCCCTGAGGGCACTTCCAAGGTGGCATCCACCAGCTGGAGACTCTTCCTTGAATCCAATGCCTCTATCACCCTTACGTCACCGCAGTCTCTGGCCACCACTGGGTCCCCTGGAATCTGGATGGAGTACAGCAGCCATCACCCCACAGCCACCACTGCTCACGAGGAGTCTACGGATGGGGATTTCATTGCCCAACAAAAGAATGACAGCCCTGACTGGCAAAAGCTGCTTTTGTTCTATATCCTCGGCACGGTGGCGGCCATCTTACTCCTGCTGGCTCTGGCCCTGGGGCTGCTGGTCTACCGCAAGCGGAGAGCCAAGAGGGAGGAGAAGGAGAAGAAGCCCCAGAGTGCGGCAGACAGCTACTCCTGGGTTCCGGAGAGAGCTGAGAGCAGGGCCATGGAGAACCAGTACAGGTAAAGAGGGCCGAGGTTGCCCAGGGCAGGAGGGGGCAGACACAGGGAGGGGGGTGGGCAACAACTCCACAAACAGGTAGAGGGAGGGGGCAGGCACCGTCCAAGCTGGACAGTAAGCCCAGTCCTGCTGTGAACCCGGAGACATGCTGAGCTCCCTTAGGACAGTTGATCTGCTTGCAGCTCAGGTGTACATGGGCCGCCCCCAGGGTCTAGATACGCAGGGCAGGGCCCACCAGCTTCCAACGCTGTCTGTCACCTTCTGTTTTCCATAGTCCAACACCTGGGACAGACTGCTGAAGGTGGCCCCGGAGACACTGCCAGTCAGCTGCCACCATCCTCAGAGCTCAGATGGAGGGACCCACATCCTTCTGAAAGACTGGACTGGACTCTTAGCAAACAATTGTCAACTTTCTCCTTAAAAGCCTGGCCACTTGGGACGGTCAGGTGTATCCTAATTGCGTGTGTTATTCCCAGAGTGGAAGCCATGGGTTGTGGTGTCATGGCGGGGAATTTTGTGAATATTAACAATTGTCTCTCAGTCTCCCTTTTCAAATATGAATACGATTGATTTCCTTTTTCTGCACTGGTTCTGGATTATGTCAGGTGCTAATGGGCTTCTCTGCTCACTGGAGTCATCGAAGAAGAAAAGGGGTCTGATAATGCTAACTAGTATAATGGGGACTAAGTAAATTATTGTTTAATTATGTAAGAAGTTATTTTTTTTTTTTTTTGTCAAAGGGAATGTATTTAGGACTGAAAACTTGTCTTTGCCTTTACATTCATGCATTTTCCCATCACAAGTCCTGCCGACCTTGATGTTGTTGAAATCCTCCATATTGACCAGAAATCCACTTAGTTAGCAAGGAGGCAGGGAGTTTAGAAATCACGTCTCGTTCTTAACTTTCTGAGAGCCTTGGCCTTATTTGCTAGTGAAATTTGAAAAATGTGGATAAAGTTGTATGAAGCGAGTTACAACGGTTTTGAAAATAATCAAAAGTGCTGAAGAGGGAGGCCAGGGTTTGTTCCACAAACACTTGAATCTAATTTCATCTAAATGTTCTGATGTGAACGCAGACTTGACTGTGGAGGCGTTGAACACTCACAGGGAAGACCCCAGCAGCAACCTGTCTCTAAGCCTGCCCATCCCGAGACACCCACCCTGCCCCGCGTCCCTGCCTTCACCTCAGGCAGCTCTGCATTTCGGTGCTTTGACTGTAGATGGAGGGCACCCTAGGGAGTCATTCGCTCTGATTGTTTTTCCAAAGGACACGTGAGGGAGATGCCCTGCTGGCATCATAAAGCTTTTTGGCCCGGCTCACAGTCGACATTAGCACAGTTCACAGTCCTGACAACTTGATCCTGACGTGTGGCTGCAGCACACAGAAGGGCCGGGGGCCAGTCACACACCATGACAGTCCCCATGCTGCTTCAGGAACTTGTATCCCCGTTTTCTCTTTTTCTTAAAGAGGAGGTCTTGGGGAGGGGAAAAAGAGAGAATAATTAAAATCTCTTGCAACTATAAAAACCGCTCAAAGAAACGTAAATTTATATCCTCATGTCCAAAGGCTCACTCGCCAAGGTTTCCCCTTGCGATGTGGTCAGTACTGCGAGGTTCTGCCTGTGCAGCCAGAAAGCCGCTGGGATGGTCAAGGCTGTTCCCGCTGCCTGAGGAGCCGTGAGGCCTCCGGTCCCTGGAGGGCGGGGAGGTGGGGGGTGGGGGGGTGGGGGGCGCGAGCGGGTCAAGGCTGTGCATGCTGACTGAGGAGCCGTGGAAGGCCTCTGGCCCCTGGGGGCTGTCTGCTGCCGCCAAGCAGACGTCCAGAGGGAATGGGCTTCCTTCCAGAGATTCCAAACTCTGCCTGGCAGGAGGAGGGCATCCCATTGTTTCTGGTTTTGCCTTAGAAATGCAACCGTCCCAGAGGTTAACACCTGGCCCTCAGAGTCCAGTATGCATTCTTTTTTTTTTTTTTTTTTGCCAAATTTTAAATGTAGGTGCTACAATTTATTATTTTTTTAAAGACCATGGGAAACTGCAGGCGGTGTAAAAGGAAACAGGAAGGCCCCGTGGAGCCTAGCAGGCGCTTGGAAGTTCTGCATTCTGGTCAGTTTTCACTTGGAGTAAGTGGTGTCTGACACTCTAGGAGACCAAAGCTGTGCCCCTTCATCACAGGACCCCGACAGTCTCTTGTATGGGAACCAACTGGTGATAGAAAGGCTGTTGCTGACCAGTATCTGCGTGGACACGAAATAAATGCAAACTCAACAGCTTCCCCCTAGGTTTGTACAGTTTTTCTTTTCGTTTGGGATGAAGAAGACGATCTTACTCTGGGCGTTGTCCAAGTCCTTTGTGATCCTGTGGGCCTTGAACTGGCTGAGGCTACTAACATGCACTCTCAGTTCCGTGTTTGGTTCTTCTAGGGCCCTCAAGGGGCTAAAAGGGCTGACAAATAGCAGTTTCTCAGAATCTGCCCTGGCTGAGTTGGCCCCCCCAAATGCCAGTGAGATCTCTTGCTCTCACGCCACTGCCCACTAGCGGCCAAGATCCTCGACCTGCATGACCTCAGGCAGAGAAACTGATGAAACTACTGGCCTCAACCAGATGCTTTATTCTCCCCTTTAACACTGCTATAATTCTGCCTGAGTATTTGAATCCTTGTACTGGAGAGCTCCGGGCCACGACAGTGCATACACAAGTGTTTGTGGGCTGTGTGGCCGTTGGTGAACTTCCCATTTATTCACAGGGGCCCAGGTGGCTCAGCCATGACACAGCCAGAGAAGTGGATGGGGCTGAGCCTGGGGAGAGGTGGCCCTGCCATGTGCACACCCCTCCAACCACGTCCTTGGGTGGGAACGGACCAGGTGCTGCTGTTTCTGACCTGCTGAGCAGCAGGACAAGTGAGACGATGGGGAGAGGGAGAAGGGTCTACTTAGCAAAGGCTCAAAGGCGATGGAGACTTTTGTCCAAATAGTATTTCCCATAGTTCAATCATTTTAGGAAACTCTAGGAAAACCTAGATCTGGGACAAACTTACTTCCTCTTACCTTTCGCCTTCCAAGGCCGATAATTGAAAAGGGGGAGGGCCCCTTTAATTATGCAGCTCACTAGGCCCATGTCTTTCTTTTAGGGACAGTCATTGCTTTTTCTTCTTTACTGTTTGTAGAGCCTGATGCAAGAGGACGTTTCCCCCTCGGGAATCTGAGGCCTGGAGGACACTGAGGGCGGGGCGACTATCCAACAAGGCCTAGCGGGCGGTGGGCTTGATGAGCAGGGCCCACCACTGCTCAGCAGTGCGGCCTCGAGGCACACGCAGCTGTTGAGGGCAGCTTGACCATCGGAGTGGACACTGTGATGTTACACATCCACGTGGCGTTTGCCCAGCAGCAGTAAGTGGGTGAATTAAGCGGTTTCTGAGTTGAGAGCAGGAGGACTCTGGGGTGCGGTCCCTGTCAGGCTTTGCAAGGCCAGCTCTAGCCCTAAGTGTTATTCAGTGGTAGCCTAGCAACCTTGGCAAAGGCTCCTCCTCCCATCTTTCCATGATCAGGCAGACAAGCGGAATCAAAAGTTAAGCGTGCAATACCTGCTCATGTACATCATGAAGGCGGACCTGAGGAGGGAATGAATCTCTTTTCTCTTAAACGCACAGGTGCGCGTTGCTGTTCTCCTTTATGTTCTAAGCATGAGCACCTGTCTGAGCCTGCTGTGCTGGCACCTGGCCTCCTCACGAGAGATCTTTGAAGAATACGCATTTCAGCATTGGTTACTTTTACTCCAACTTTCTTGTCCATAAACATGTGAAAACTAAAAGAAAAGAGATGAGATCTGACAAAAATAGTACAAACTTCAAAATAATGCAGTTTTTAAAGGCAAACATAGGAAAGCCTTTTGTGTTATTTTTCTCCTGGACTTTGCCATTGTCTGGAACAGGAAAACAGGAAAGCAATGCTTTCTAGCAGCTGCAAATCATGTAATGGCTCTACATATTTCCATCACCTTAAACAATAGGTCCAGTGTGGGAACCTGAGATATGAGCCCTGAGCACATCTGTTTCTGTCAGGCCGCAAAACCCACTGCTTAGATCTGTGTGGTTCGTGGAATGAACAACAACAAAAAACCCAAAAAGACAATAATCAAAATTCCCTACCTCCCGATTTTGGGAACTAATATTAACTGATGTGCTTTAAAAAAAAATTGTGCTTTGGTCTGTTCTTAGAGTTAATGCCCATTTATTTTAAGAAGCAACTCTAGAATTTCTTTCTTGAATAGTTTCTTTTATCTGCAAAGTGGCAAGGGTTTCCTCCCCTCCCCACAACAGATTTTGTGCTCTGCTCCCCTGGGCTGAAGTTCTTTTTGCATATTTTGCTTAAGCTTGAACTGGATTGTATGCTAGGTCTGGTTCTGTTATGGTAGGTGTGATTGTAAATGGCTAGTCACTTCATGAATGTTAAGTGAGAATGTAAGTAGTTTTAAATACGTGTATTTAAACTGTGTTCCACTAATTCTGGAATCATGGGCTTTCAATGCGGGGTTTATTTTCATCCCAGGCATGAGTGCTTCACAGGTTGCAGGGAGGGCATGCTTGAATGGGGCACTGATCCTCAGAACTCTGAGGAACTGAGCGGCATCTTGGGTCAGCCTCAAATGGCAGGTTTGTTGTCTTTTGCACTTTGTATTACACAACTATTCTAATAAAGCCTGAAATATGTTTGTTGTCAACTTGCTTTAATATGTTTCATAACATGCCCAGCTGGCGTGGCTCAATGGTCGATCTATGAATCAGGAGGTCACGACTTGATCCCTGGTCAGGGCATATGCCTGATTGCGGGCTTGATCCCCAGTAGGGGGTGTGCAAGAGGCAGCCGATCAATGATTCTCACCATTGATGTTTCTTTCTCTCTTTCCCTCTCCTTCCTCTCTGAAATCAATAAAAATATTAAAAAATATATATATTTCATAACAACTCAAAATGTGTGGCAGACGTGCATGTACGATCATTAATTGTATCCGTTTTCTTTTTCAAGCAGTTGCTAAAAGAAGGTAACCTGACTGCCCCATTTCCATGTCTTCACCCACTGGAGGCAGTAATAGCCCAGCGCACTGGGTGGGTGCAAGGCAGTGCCCTGCTGCCCACCCTGTGCCTCAGCACTCTGTCCTCAGGGACATGGGCATACACGGGCTGCAGTGGGACCAGTGTCCCGGCTGCTGAAACCAGGCGGATTGAATGCTTCCAAATGCTGCCTTTGGAATCAGAGTCCACTCCTCGGGCCTCCATCGTCACCGTTTCATTCTCTGCATCTTTTTAACTGCCCTGGTGATGTCTGGTGCAGGAATAAACGTCCTATTGGAGTGATGCAAAAATACTGTTCTCTAATGGTCACAGGAGCGTTATCATCACACTGTTGGCAAAGCATTTTGGATTTATTTAACTAAGTAGACAGGCTGACTAGGTTGGCTGTTGTTTGGCTGCATGGATCTCACTGTGAGTGGAAGCTGGGCAGCAGGTGGTGGTCAGTTCCCAATCCACCTGCCTTTCAGATTGTGTCCTGGCAGGAACGGGGCTCAGGTGGGATCAAGTGCTCCGCGGTTATGCCAATAGACAGGACACTTGCTATAAACACTCATCACTCAGGGATAATTAAAGCTGATCCTTTTATCAATCTTGCCACTAACAAAATACAGTTAGAAATTATATCTTAATATGAACAACTATGGCTGGCCCTCGACACACACACACACACACACACACACACACACACACACACACACCACAAACATACTGACATGCCTAATTAATGTTGCATGTGGTGAACACTAACATTTTTCAGTTTTTACTTTTTTCTACATTTTATTTTTAGCCTTCTTTGTCTTTTTATGTTTCTCTCTTGTAAACAACAATGCTGAATTTCACTGTTTTTCTTTTTCTTTTATCCAATCAAAAAAGCCTTTGTCTTTTTATTGGTTGTTGTTAATCCTCACCGGAGGATATTTTTTCCATTGATTTTTTTTTTTTTTTTTTTTTTTAGAGAGAGTGGAAGGGAGTGAGGGAGAAGGGGGAGGGGAGAGAGAGAGAGAGAGAGAGAGAGAGAGAGAGAGAGAGAGAGAGAGAGAGAAAGAGAGAGAAAACATCCATGTGAGAAAGACACATCGGTTGGTTGCCTTCCGCATGTGCCTTGACCAGGGTCAGGGGTTGAACCTGCAACGCAGGTATGTGTCCTTGATCAGAAATTGAACCTGAGACCCTTTGGTGTGTGTGTGCTGATGCTCTAACCATTGAACCCACTGACCAGGGCAAAAAAAGGAGGTAATTTTTTTTTAATGGGAAAAGTTAGCCTATTTATATTACTAATGAGATTACTAATAATATGTGGTGGCTAATTTTGTCTATTCTATTTGTATAACGTTCTTGGCATTTCTGTTCTTTCTTGTCTATTATTTGTTTCACTGAGGTTTCTTTGTTCTACTTTTCCCCTCTAATATTCTGAAATTTATAAGGACTATTTGTATTCTTCAAATGCTTATCTTAATTTTTTACCTCACTTCCATAAACCTTTCTCTGAATGTCTAATGTTCATCATTAGTGATATCCTTCTCCCTGAAAAAGAAAGACAAAAATTGCCGAACTCTGCTATTTCTTTCTCTCTTCCTCTCACACTACCCAAACCCCCGTCACCATCACCCATCTTGATGCATCTAAATTTTATTTGTCAATAGTTGTGCGGTTGCACAGTCAACACCTATTTAGAAGCCATGAATTTTACATGATTCTCATCTTCTCCTGATTGCCTTGGACTTTATTTTCATAGGAATGGAACCAAAACTGAACGTTGTTTGTTTGTTTTTGCCTTTTTCTGAGAAGTCCACAAAAGGGTAGGTTTTCAGCATCCTTGCATGACTGAAATGCCCTTTCCCCCCATCCAACGATGGCGCACCTAAACAGTGATGTCTGCCATGTAAACTACTTGCTGCTCCTCGGAGCTCTGCAGAAATGGACGGTGTCCTTGCTTTTTCGCAGCCATTGTTAAGATGAGATGGCTAGTGTCAAATGACTCGTTTTCTTCCTAAGTGATTTCTTTTTTACCCTGTCCCTCCCCTGGATGCTTTTAGTATCTTCTTGTTCTCTTCTGTTCTGAGGTGTGGTTCTTCCCCCTGGCCTGCCTGCATGAGGTGAGCACTTTCCATCGAAGGAGGGTGCTTTATTCGGGTCGTTTCTGAGCACTTGCTGGGGTCCCCTGGGTCCCCTGGAGCCCCCTGCAGGGCTTGTTAACACCCAGACAGCTGGGTCTCAGCCCAGAATTTTAGAGACAGCAGGTCTGGGATGGAGCCCAAGATTTCCCCTTTCTGACAGGTTTCTGGATCAAGCTGCTGCGCATTAGGGGCTCCTCCTGGAGAACTGTTTTATTCAGTTTGGGGTAATTTTCTTCTCTTATTCTTGTGAGTATACCCTCCTCTCCATTCTCTTCACTCTTATTCTGGAAACAATTTTTAAATTGGTCTATGTCCCATGTTTCCTGACTTTTTCTTTGACATTTTCCATCTCCCTTTCCTCTCATAGTAGGTTATGAAATGGTATCATCTCCCCAGTGACCCTTGCTTGTCCAATGACCCTTGCTTGCCCTGCTTTTTCCAAAGCTCTGGCCACCTTCTAGCATAGTAGATAATTTCCTTTCAGACATTATCATTTATTATTTATTGTCTATATTTATACATATGTAAACTCTCCCACAGCAGCAGTTTTTGTCTTTTGGTCAAGGCATCTAGACAAGGGCTTAGCGCTTAGTGATGCTCAATAAACACTCCTTTATTCCTTTGAAGCCATGGCTTGATTTCCTTAGGAAGAAGCTGGGTACTTGAAATAGGACTTCTTTTTCAGGGATTTTCTACTGTCTTCACATGAAGGCCAGTGGCTACATGTCACGTCTTCCTAAGAGACTCTAAGGCACTTGAGGGCAGAGATGTATCTTTAATGTGGATCACACAGTGCTTTGCATAGCTGAGTTCAAATATTTTTTAAACCAAAGACCAACTGGGTGTATTATCTCATGCAATATGTTGTTAAAGCAACATAGGGGAGAAATTCATTGAAATTTTACTTCTTATCAGATGTGAAAGTGGTATTTATTTATTGAGAAACAGACAGCATTACCGTCCCCACTTTACAGATAAGGAAACAGGCATAGAGAAGTCAGAAAACTTGCCCACAGTCACACAGCTCACAGGTGATGAAGTAGGGGTGTGGAATCTTCCAGTCTCACTCTTAATCATGAGGTCTCATTGCCTCCCATTAAATGTGAATGGGAACTGGACCTGCAATTTCAAAAGTATCAACTAGTGACAACCTGGCCAATCAACCTATTTCAAATAGAAAAGGCGGAGCATTAAGCAATTATGGGTATTTTAAATATCTTATATCCAGTCAAATATACTAACACTTGTGAACTCCCCAAACACACACACACACACACACACACACACACACACACACACACACACACCTCACACACTAGCTAAACTACTCAAAAGCTCTCTGCTACCCCAGAGAGGTTGAGCAACCTGAGACCCATCATCTGAGGGCAGATCCCAAGACTACTTTCTCAGTGACCTCCATAGAGGCCATCTCCATTCTGTCTTGGTCAAAATGATGATCATGTGTAGTAGTAGAGGAGGAGGAGGGGGTGAAGTATGCCTAACTTCTCTATGCCTCAGCATAAATCACCTTTTTAGTTATGCCCTGCCCTCGAAGGCTACTTCTCCACTGGAACTCTCACAGACACTAATGGAAATGGAAATGGTGCAACCTCTTCAAAAACAGTTGGCAAATTTCTTAAAGAGTTAAACATGCACATAGGTCCCAGCAATTCCATTCTGAGATGTTGATTCACGGGAAATGAATCTCTTACCCATACAAAGTCTTGGCCACAAATATTCACAGGAGATTTATTTAGATCCTCAAACTGGAACAACATAGATATTCATTAGCAGGTACATGGATAAAGATTGTGGTTTATCTATACAGTGGGCTACTCCTCATTAAAAGAAAGAAAGGGAAATAGACTTTTTATAAACACAATGACATGGATGAATTTCAAAAGCATTATGGTGAACAAAATAAGCCAGACATATAAGCCTATACCTGAAGCCAGTCAGAGAAAGACAAATATCACATAATCTCACTTATATGTGTGGAATTTAATGAATAAAATTAACTGATAAGCAAAATGGGTCCAGACGCATGGATGCATGGAACAAACTGACAGAGCTTCGAGGGTAGGGTGTTTAGATTAATCAAAGAGCTTATACACATACTAGAGACCTGGTGCACAGATTTGTGCACTGGTGGGGTCCCTCAGCCTGGCCTGCACCATCTCACAATCTGACATCCCCCGAGGGATGTAGCAGTGCGCAAAGCATAGGCAGCAAAGGAGGAGCCCAAGCCACTCCTGCTCATCCTGGCCCCTCTTGCCAGCCGTGAGCCCAGCTTTTGGTTGAGTGGCGCTCCCGCTATGGGAGCACACTGACCACCTGGGGGCAGTTCCTGCATTGAGCACCTGTCCCCCGGTGGTCAGTGCGTGTCATAGCGACCTGATGACTGGTCTTTTGTTGGTTTGGTCATTCAGTCACTTAAGCTTTTATATATATAGATAGATGTGCATAGCCCATGGACACAGATAATAGTGTGGTGAAGGCCTGGGGTAGGGCAGGGGCTAGATGGAGGAAGG